TTCCAAGGGATGGATATACATGACAGAGCGATGGGGTACTTAAAGCCAATGAATAAACACTGTAGCTATTTTGGAAAAAAACATTTTTAGAGTGGAGTAAAGCAGTTACATTATGGAACAGAATGCAAACTTTGGTTAATTGCTAGGATAAAGCAGAAAAATTCAAATGAATTTTGAGCTTACTGTAGCTGCCTCCTGCTATGATACCCAGGCCCCAAAGGGCCAGCCTCTCTCCACTCAACTTTGAAGCTAAGTAGAAAAGTTTGCTCATCACTGCCTTAAGTAATTACCTAGGTCTCTCTCAGGATTCTATCTCTGCTGAATATGTAAGTCATGACTCTGTTGCACATCTATGAAATATGAAATAAACTAGGAAAACAAAACATACAACAAAATGATGGGAATGATGTTGATATTACTTTGTCCTCAAATTTGCTTTCAATACTTAAAGTAGTAACAGTGTCCCTGCTAATTTAAAGCTCAGGCTTGGCAACCTGAGGTAAATAAAGATGTATAGTTAATTCTTACTGCAATGTCTCAAAAATCTGGTACAGGTACACTTTACAACTATTATCGAAACTTACAAATAATTAGTCTGGTCCACTTAATAATATGTAACACTTTGCACATGCTGCTGCTTCTGCCAGGAACACTCTTCCTTCTAGTTCTCTACATTGCTGATTCCTTCTCACCCTTCAAGTTCACCTCTTCAGAGAGTCTTTTCCTAACTACCCCATCTAAAGCCATCCCTTTTCATCCGTCTCTAAGTATTTTATTATCCTGTTTATTTCCTTTAAAGCAATTCCCACAATTTGTAGTTAAGTGGTAATTATTTACTCTTTTATCATGTGTGTGCCTCCTCCCATCAGAACAGAATAGAATCTTATTTATTGCCACATCTCTACCTCTACTGAGTGTCAATAAATACTTTTGAATGAAAGGCTGATGCTGCACAGCATTAGAAATAAAGAGCAAGCATTTCTCACAGACTTTTAAAACTCTAAAAAAAAAAAAAAAATCAGATCTTGGAGCTATTATAATCTGGCTCTTTTTTCTTACAAACCTAAAAAGAAACTGAAGCTCAACCATTCTCCCAAGATCCTTTTAGAATTGCAAGTTTGGGGCTGAGTCAGGAATAGTCTTCCATCTCCCTGTCTCCCACACCAGGGAGCTTTCCAAACCAAGCTGTTGTTTCTTCTAGTTTCACTTTATTATTCCTACAGGATGTATAAACAGTGCTGAACACACGTGAAAACCAAATGTTTGCTTCTTTTCCCATAAATTGTCTTTTTGTTGTTGTTTTGCCAACTACAGTGGAAAAGAAAACACAGAAGACACTGTATGCCATGCAAAGAGTCTGATCTCAATGCCACGTGCAGAAGAGATGGGATCCACTGCAACCCAATCATATTCTGCAGCGCAGTATGCCTGGAAGCCTCACCACTGCTGCTGACATGGACAGAGCAACTGCCATACTCACGACATGAAGTATGGTTTTAAACCAGGAGAAGTAAATGCTATATGCACTGACATCTCACATATCCAAAAAAATAAATTAATGTAGCTAATACATACTTCAGTAGCTATGCCTATTTCCCTCAAAGGGGGCAAGTTTAAATTCAAGTGACCAGGAAAAAAAGAATTCTATGAAAAAAAGAAGGATCATATAAGCAAGAACCGTAACAGTCACAAGTCACAAATCCACTGGGCAACTCCTAGACAACACGGTTTACTGATCTGGAATCAAACCCACTGATTAACAAGCTCAACGGTAAGCGGTAACTAAGCCACCACATCTGTGAAGACATTTCTCCTTGTAAGAAATATGGTGTCTTAAACAACTTCTTTCCAACCTCCTACGATATCTGTATAATCTGTGGTGCTTAGGTCAAGGTTCTTCCCTCCAGGCAGCTGCACTCCACTGCCCACAGTTCCCAGGCTAGAAGTCATGGCTCAAAATTCCCCTCCTCAGGATCTGTAGTCAGATTAACAAGCCATTCTCTAATCCTCAAACACAATGGCTGACTCATCTTTCCTGGGCCAGGACATTTTTACTACTTTGAAGTTAACTATTTCTTCATGTGTATTTGTCCACCTAGCCTATCATTCTTGAGTGCAATGTGATGGAGGGCCAAGACCGTGTTGGTTTGTTAATGTAAGTCCCTGCACTGACCTCTATTTTCCAACTAAACTGACAGAGAGTCTTGCTTCTGGACATTACAATGCCGATATAAAATTCTTATTTCTGCAGACCATGTTTTACTGTGGTCGAGATTCTCAATGGTAAAAATGAGGCCCAAAGTCACTGGTGCCATGTAACATTGGCAAGTCTGTCTGCATGCATTCAGTATATTTTTAAAAAGAACATGAGATTAGCTTTTTTTTTTATTTTTGAGACAGAGTCTTGCTCTGTTGTCCAGTAGAGTGCTGTGGTGTCAGCTTAGCTCACAGCAACCTCAAACTCCCGGGCTCAAGCAATCCTCCTGCCTCAGCCTCCTATGTAGCTGTGACTACAAGCGTATGTCACTATGCCCAGCTAGTTTTTTACATTTTTAGTTGCCTGGCCAAATTTCTTTCTATTTTTTAGTAGAGACGGTGTCTCACTCTTGCTCAGGCTGATCTCGAACTCCTGAGTTCAAGCAATCCTCCCACCTCAGCCTCCCAGAGTGCTAGGATTACAGGCGTGAGTCACCATGCCGGGCAGAGATTAGCTTTTAAGTTAAGCAAGATGATAGTACTTCGAATAATGCAAATCCAAAAATGGATAAATTACTAATCCCATTAGTTCCAAAGTTTAGAATATTTACCCATTCACGAGACAAATGATATTAGAATTCAGTGACTAATGTTATAGTATTTTTTTTAAAACACAGTCTTGCCTTGTCACCCCAGCTAGAGTGCAGTGGCCTCATCATAGTTCACTGCAACCTCAAACTCTTGGGCTCAAGTGATCTTCCTTCCTCTGCCTCCTAGGTAGCTGGGACTACAGGTGCATGCCACCTCGCCCGGTTAATTTTTTCTATTTTTAGTAGAGACAGGGTCTCACTCTTCCTCAAGCTGGTCTCAAACTCCTGGCACAGGCATGAGCCACTGCACCTGGCCACATTATAGTATTTTTAAAAACCTGTGCCAAATGTATATAAAAACTGGGAAATAGGGAACTATTTTATCTGTAACCAAGAAATGGTGCCCTATTTAGCTTACAGAGATTTTTGATAAAATCTAAAGCAGATGTAGGTAAATGCAATCCTATGTGCCTCAAATTTCTAAAAAATTCATTCATTATACATTCCAAACAGTCACAAAACTCAAATAGGGTACACTATCAACAACTGCTTGGCTAGACCAGTTAGACATTTTTTTAAGCAGTCAAAATGATACATCCTTAATGCTTTGCATTAAAATCAATGATATCCTTACCCCTAAACAAGAAAGACCTTTTAATTAAATTGTGGTGCTTTTTATATAAATTAAAAAATTTTATATAAATTCTTATATTAATTAAAAAATACATAAGTTCCAAATAGTATTTAATATAATTATTCTAATACCCTGAAAAGTTTTGCACTCACACATTATTAGCACATGAATTTCAAGTGTACTGATTACTACAGAAGCAAACTCATATTCCATTCAAGCTACCGAGGAGAGGAATTTAGATAGGAATATAAAAGAAATTTTTTGTAATTTAAATAACTATTGTAAATAGCATTTTTTAAAAATTAACACAGTGCTGAACTCAGTAAATTATTTTGTTAAAGCAAAATTATACTTTACCTTTGTACTAATATGTTACTCAGGAAATATCGACATTGCCAAACACGCAACAGATGCTCAAAAAGCGTTAAAAAATGACCTTCACATAGAATGAGCTCACAGTTAGTTGGGGCTCTGGTCTGTGCAAGAAGGTAAGAGCATCATGCTACCGTGCTGCATATATACAACATTAAGGCAAGCCACATGTGGCTAACAGAAACTAGCTTCTGCAGGGTGTTCATTCTGTTGTTTCACAAAGGCAAGCGATGTTCAGCTCCACCAAAAATGGTAGGAGAAGGTGAATGGACAGACCTTCTAACATTTGTATATTAAACGTATCAATAAAGGAGTGTGTGTGTTTGGCATTTTCTTAGGTATGAAAAATTATTTGACCAATATAAATCAGCATCTCCACTGGAGCTAACGATTAATGCAGAAACAAAACGAAGGTTGAGAGAAAATGAGACCAATTTGGGAAATGTGAACTAAGCAGACTATTATTGTTGAAAAAATATATTTTGAAATGTCAAACTTTTCTCAACATTTAAATCCTGTAAATCACTTACCAGAATCGGATTGTCAAGATTATAGACCCTGCCTCAGAAATTTTTTGTAAATCTGTATATGATTTCTTCCCCTAAAATAAATTCATCAATGTAAATTAACTAGGAACTTTCTTTTCTTGGTTTTCTGATGTGGTAAAAATTTTGGATTAAACATATATAATTAAACATTTTAATGAAAATGGGGAAACACAAAATTATCCCCAAACTAGTATATGAAAGTGTTTATATTCTTTATAAAAATTAGTACGGAAATTAATGTAACACATGTAAACAAGGCATTTAAATTTTTTACTAAGGTTATTTATTTTGACAATAGTTCATACTACGACTTCTTAAGTTAATATGAAAAATCAATAACATAATTATATACCTAAGATATTTATATATAAATATACATAAAAATATGCATACAAAATGCTGACAATAATGTCAAGTACATCTAACTTAGAAAGAATAAAATACTATAAAAATATAAAAATAGAAATTTAAGGACAAATATGGGGGTGTTTTTCTTTATTCTTTCACAACATTACTTTTGAAATTTAAATATTTATCTTGGTTTGGTTACATGCATAAAACCATTACATCACCTAGCAATATTAAATAATGCTAAACTATAATTTCTAAATAAAACCACTATGTAATTTTAAAATTAATATAAGTCTGAAATCCACATACCTGAACCAACCTCTTTTTCCTCCTCTTCAATGTTGTTTTTGATGCTATCATATTCCTCATCAATGGTCTGGTTACCACGCATCTGAGATAAAATTCTACGGGCCTTCTGAGTCTGTCCTTTCTGAATAAGCCATCGAGGACTTTCAGGCAAAAAGAGAAAGCCAAAAAACTGTATCACTGCTGGAATCGCTGCAAGTCCCAACATGTACCTGCAATAAGAAATCCACATTTATTGTAAAATTTGGTCTTACTAGCACTGAGTTATGTGCTCACTACATACTTCTGTGTTTGTGTTGATCATAATAATATCTAATGCTAAATTAGTCAGAATTATTTTCTTTTTATCATGTGTGTATGCATGTGTCATCAGAAAAAAAGGATATTTTTATGCTGTATTAAAAACTGAAAATGAGAAAAATATAATTACTTCTCTCTCACACAAACTACAGTAAAGAAGAATGGATAAAAGTCACGATGATTATGTACACACATTCTGAAACAAACATATCAGGAAAAACATAATTACCATCTTTATCTAATACTAATGCACGTAATTCTGTATTTCACAATATAAAGTAGAGCTAAGACTAAAAACACTCTATGGTATCTGCTTAAAAGACATACTTTTTATTAAAATAAGTGCTCAAATTTGTTTTGTTACATTTTCTTATTTCATTTTGCCATCGAGCATCGTGTTAACCATCATTAACTGAGCAGTGAGGTCCACAGAAAAGGAGACAGACTCAGAAGCAGGTAATCCTAATTAAAATGACTTCAAATATAAAAAGCTGCTGATGTTTTAAGTTACCTGTTATCTTCTTTAAATCTCTATTCTTAATGATTGGCAAAATTCAAAATAGCAAATAAGAATATCATTTTAAATCCATCAGAGAAATAACAAAAATAGTAATACGAATATATCAATATCAAAGATCTCTCCAAATTATTACAATCACCAGATTTGTCTCCTAACATCTCCTAACATTGCTAGGATTCAATCTTTTTGAACGGAAGGGGTTAAATTAGAAAAACCTCCAGGTCTCTTTCAAATGGAAACTTCTAGGAATCTAGGACAACTGGATGTTTTCTGTAGATCCAAGTTCCCCAGGTATATTCCAAGGTAGAGTCATAACAATAGAGATCAGAAGGCCAATTCCATTTCTGTAACAGGCTATACTGATATTTATACCTGAATCAATATTCTTTTCAAAGCTATTCTACCTTTTAAGCTATGCTAAACCCTAAGTATAGTAGCCTTAAAGGTTCCAAAGATACATTTCATGAAGTAAGGCTACGATTTTCCAGGCAATTTCATTTTAATTCCAAAAAGTAGAAGAAAAAAATGTAATTGTCATATGAGTGGTAAGAATATCTCCTATTTAAAACTACAAACTAAAACTACATGTGGAAACAGAAAAATTAACTAAGATTTAGAAAGTAAACAGAGCATTTATGAATGACCGACTAAAGGAATCACTTGGCCTGCAGTATCAAAAGAAATCTTACTAGAAGTATTTTATACTTTAGCCCATGGGTGGCGATAATTATACCAATATGTAATCACTCCCTCCTTTGCTCACCCATAGAACACAGTTTTTTAACCTAACGTATGTCATCGTATCTTGTATTATAGCACAGCCCCAGTAGAGTATCTTACACACAATAAGCATTTGGTGAGCATTTTATGAAATGATATGAAAGCAGCTATGTATCTAAACTTTCTGTATTAACTAAACAGAAAATAAGTGCACTTCAGACTCAGATGGCAATATTTTATGTGGCAACTCTTCTGAATCACCTAGCTCTGCAAACCTACTTGCACAGTAACTCCTTCCAATCAGACCATTTGTTATCCTAGATATATTTAATAAGTAGACCTTCTCTTCTGGAAGGGTCTTCAGATGATAGCTAGAGAGATCAGTTCACGCAAATACATATTTCCAGCCTCTCCTAATATGTTAACCTATACAACCAAATCTGTTATTTAAATGTTTTATTGCTGAAAATAAATAAAATTTCCATGTGAGCTGTGTTCTCTCAAAGAACTTCAAAGAAATGGTTATCCAATATTGACAATTACTTAAAAGTGGGGAAAAAAACGTAGACACTAAATATACCGGATTAGGAGATACATTTTAAAAGTCCTAAAGATAAAAGCCTTATGTTTCATTTCTCTATAGCTCTCATGATCTTTCCAAAGAAAGATCCTGAATTAGGATTAAAGGGCTGCCGAGAGTGCTTCAAAACAGCACTTGAAATGAATATAGAAAGTGAATCTTTTTCAGGCCCAAAGATGTTCACGTAATACTTCGTTCTTTACTACTATTAAATCCCAGTACACAGTATTTTTATGAAGTTTAAAGAAGAAAAGAGAAGGGAAGGGAAGAGAAAAGAGAAAACAAAAAGAGAAATACAGACATACATATTAGCCTATGTTTCTTAAGTGAGCAACAGAAGACAGAATACTTAAGCCCTCTAGCCTTTTAAAACCTTTAAGTCTCAAAAGTCTAGGTCTGAAATGTACAATTCAGTGTCCTATACTAAGGCTGGGAAAAGAAATTCACATTCTGCTTCCAATCTTTAAAGATATTAAAGTTTCTTTCCAGAAACAAATCAAGAAAAAATGCTTTATACATTTATATCCTAGCACTTCTCTCCTGCAAGTAAAACAAAAGCTTATATTATGATTTTTAATTACCTTTCATGATAAAAGTGTTTTGATACCAATAATTTTCATGGCTTTCTAGAAATCTAATACGCAGATCAAAGGTAGCTATGATATATGATAGAGGGAACATAGGAACAGATTTGGGTGTCACTTCAGCTCTGGGCATGCTAACCACAAGAACACGGTGAAGTTACTTAACATTTTAACACACAGGTGACAGTGTCTATTTCATAAGACTGCTGAGAGAATTAAGTGAAATAATTCAGTCAGTACCTAGCAGAGAGGATGTTCAGCAAAAAAAGTTTTACCTTCCTAAACTTCTAACCATGCAATCAATTCATTGAAACTTGCCTGTCCTGGCTACATTATCCACCCAAACTTCCAGCAGGTAGAACCAATTTCTTTTTTGAGGGAAAATCGTTCTTCTGATGACATGCAGACTGGAGAATAGGAAAGATATATATGAGTTGCTTTGCTGTGGTACTGATAAAAAAAACTTCAATATAAGACTAAAAGAGCAGGAAATCTATAAACCTAGCTAAGGCAACATTAGGGACTAACCATCAGTCCTCTAAATCCAAGGAAACCAGGAATCAGACGAATGCCAGAGTATTGTGATGTACTAGGGCAGGCAGTCCCCAAACAAGCAAGAGTCCCCTATTGACACAGGAGATCTCATTATTATAAATTAAATCAAGGTTCCAAACCCTGGCTTCACATTAGAGTCACCGAGGGGGCTTTTAAAACACACTAGTGTCCAGGCCTCACCCTCCCCCAGGAATTTTGATTAAGTGGTCTGGGCTCTGGGCCCAGGGAATTCTGTTTTATTAATAATCCAAACTCTCCAGGTGGTGCTAATGTGCAGTCTAGGCTGAGAATCAGAAATCTAAAAGCTTTAAAAACCCAGGGGGTGAAAATGAACAACAAGCACCCAAGGTCCACACCTTAAGGCAAAAGCCATTTATCTTCTGGAGGCAAGAGAGCACACCAGGGTGACATAAAGGGAAAGTATGCCAGGTCAAGCGAAACGCCAAGTCTTCCTGAGCTCTAAAAATCTTCAGTGTGTTCTTTGCTGTCATGATCACTCACAAAAGATAAAATCTTTTAAAAATCTTTTAAACTTGAAGTTAACAAATGAAGTATTTTCTGGCACAGTTAGTATCAGTGACTGCCTATCAGAAAACTAAGAGAACCCTCTGCAGGGCAGGAATGCTTTCAAATGGTGTGGTTAGATCAGCTATTAACAAGAAAAACCAATTCCACCTATTTCACCTCAAGTTCAGCCTTCTTCCCAGTTCCTAGAACCAAAGCTCTATGAATCAAAGATCTTACATTCCAGGGGGCCACCCCTCCCACCATGGCTAGGCTGAGCAGTCCTGATGCTTTCAGCAGATGGCCAGGTGCCCCCCACCAAGCCAAACAGGTCCTTCACTGTCAAACAGAATATTCACTGTCATTCTTGTTAAAGGAATCATGTTGCTTTAACCTATGTAATTAAAGACAAGTATCCTCTAATGTCTATATGGCTATTTAAGACACAGAATTTCATAATAATCATCCCCTTCTCTGAAACAATAACATGGATTGGTATGTGACTTATTCTTTAGTAGTTGTCCAGAGGGGTGATGATTATGTTCCAAATACACCAAAATCTAATTGAATGTACAGGCTCAGCTTGGACACCTAATCATTTAACAACAACAGTAACAGCAATAGTATCAGCTAATATGTAGCACTGTTCAAAAAACTTAAGATACATTAACTCCTATGTCTTGACAACAACCCTATGAAGTAGGAACCATTATTAGCCCCACTCTACAGACAAAGAAATAAGGCACAAAGAAGATACATGGCTAGTATGTAACAAAACAATTAAAATCCAGGCAGTCTGGCTCCTATAATAATGTTTATTGTAAGTCAAGCAATGTTAAATGTTTAGTAACTACCTGATAAGTAATTCTGTAGAACTCATAAAAAAAAAAGAGGCATTAATTTACCTTAGCTTCATGTTTAAAGAATTCTGAGGTTCCCTTTGGAAGTATTATTCACTCCCCTCTGTTGAATGCAGTAAAACACAGCAGCAATAACAAAGCCAACAGCAGGGTTCACTAGGAGCCATCTCTCCCCCAATCATGCCAGCCCAGTGTCCAACACAGTACCACCCGTTGGGCTGGGTAAACTGCAAGCTGGATTTAACTAATACAGGTCTGCTAGTTGCAAATGGAATACCGTATTTTTCTCTCAACACCCATCCTTATTAAATCAGAACTCCCAAAGAACATTCCTGTAAAAATAGTTGACAACTAGTCAAAAGAAAATACCTCATGTGTAAGGGGGTAAACTGGTACCGTTTATTTTGAACACTGTGTGAAATGAAAGTTTTATTTCATTTTTCTTTAACATACATTGGTAAACTTTCCATGAGGGGAAAAAATATAGGTAAAAGGTAGATATTTTACAAAATTATTGTGAGCAAAAAAATTTCATTTGTGAGATTTGACACTTTTTAAAATATTCTGGATGACAGACATGTGTTAGATC